AATGTTGTATCAGCCTTTGGAGTACAGCTGCATAAGCTTTAGCTGTTCTCTTTCCATCATTAAACATTGCATCTGCCAACAGCCACCCAGAGGCCCCATTTAGGGTGACCTATTCCCTATTGGGTGGGAGGAGGGCCACAGAATAATCTGCAAGACTGTTGTGAGGAATATTCATGCTATCTGGCAGAGAAAATTGCTCAGTTTCACTCAGAGTTCCACTCTGACTGGGCAAGTCCAAGTGAGTTGTCTGGGTTACAGTCTTGTGATGTTATCTGGACTGAGTTTGATTCTGTTACACTCGAGGAAGTGGACAAGGTCCTTCTGTCTGTTAGTTCAGCGACTGTTAGATCCTGTCCCCCCCCCCCAGGTTATTAAGGCAGCCCAGGAGGTGACCACAGGGTGGGTTTATGTGGTGGTTTCAGCCTCTGAAACCATGAGAGGGGGAGGTCCCACCAGCCTTGAAGGAGGCAGTGTTACGTCTCCTCCTCAGCTTGACCCTTCTCTGTTGGATGATTACTGGCCAGTTTCCAATCTTCCCTTTTTGGGGAAGGCTGTGGAAAAGGTGGTTGGATGACAGTTACAGAGGATGTTGGAGGAAACAGATTATCTGGACCCATTTCAGTCTGGTTTCAGGCCAGGGTACAGTGCAGAGACAGTGCTGGTCACTGATCACCTCTGGCAGAGCTGGGATGGGGGTATTCCATCCTAATGCTCCTTGATCTCTTAGTGTTTTTTGATACTGTCAACCACAGTATCCTTCTGGATCAGCTGCAGGAGTTAGGAATGGGAGGCACTGTCCTCCAGTGGTTCAGCAGTCAGTTCCAGTCGGTGTTGACAGGGTGGGAGAGATCAAATCTCACATATGGGGTGCCTCAGGGCTCAATACTCTCCTGTCTCTTGCTCAACATCTACATGAAACCACTGGGTGAGGTGATCTGCTGGTTAGGGGTTCAGTATCATCAGTATGCTGACAATACCCAGCTCTGTATCTCAGCCCCGAGCAGCACAGGTGAAGCTGTCAATGTACTGACCCAATGTCTGGGGGCTATTTTAGTCTGAATGGAGCAGAACAGACTTTGGGTCAATCCTAACAAGACTGAGTGGTTGTGACTGTTTGGACCCCCAGGGTCGAGGATGTTACCATTGCTGGTCTTAAATGGGGCTGCACTTCCCCATTCAAGACTGGTGCACAACTTGGAGGTTCTTCTGGACTTGCAGCTACTGCTTGAAGAGCAGGTGGCAGCTGTGGCCAGGAGGGCCTTTGCACAGGTTCATCCTGAGTGCCAGTTGCACCCTTTCCTCAATTGGGAGGCCCTTCAGACAGTTACTCATGCCCTGGTCACCTCACAATTGGATTACTGCAATGCACTTTACATGGGGCTGCCTTTAAAGACCACCCAGAAGCTACAGCTGGTTCAAAATGCAGTGGTGTGAGCTGTAACAGGCACCTCTTGGTGTGCCCATGTGTCACCACTGTTACGCAAGCTGCACTGGCTGCCAGTTGGCTTCCGAGTACAATTCAAGGTGCTGGTTATTACCTATAAAGCTCTGTATGGCCTAGGGCATGGATATCCAAGGGACTGGCTATCTCCAATCATTACTGCCTGCCCAGTACATTTTGGCAGAATGGGCGCGCTCCAAGTCCCCTCTGTTAAACACTGTCATCTTGTGGGACTGAGGAAGCATGCCTTCTCTGTTATGGCCCCCACCCTCTGTAACAGCATCCCCCAAGAGATAAGGATGGCACCCTCTCTTCTAGGGTTCCGAAAAACTCTAAAAACCTGATTTTGGTCCCAGGCCTGGGGTTGATGTATTACTGTTTGCCTAGGGCCCCAGTCTTGTTTGATTTTTGTTGTCTGTAAGATTATTCTAGTCCAGGCTGTCCATTTGGTTTAATTTTTTTTATCTGGTTTTTAATGTTTTTTCTAGCTTTGTACACCACCCAGAGTCCATTGGAGTTGGGCAGCTAATAAATTCAAATAAACAAACAAAATATAAATTATAATATAACATAACATCATAACATAACATATTACTGGGGGCTTACATGTAAATGTTCCTGTAGCAGAGCCACAATTTCAGCAAACCTGGAACATGGCTACTTTAAATATGTCCAATGACAGAGTTCTGTAAAGGGTATGTGTGCATGTATGTTTTATTCATCTGGGGTACCACAGAATGCAAAATACTGCTCAGGGTATTCAATATGCACAAGCCTGTCTTTTACAGTATCATCAAAAGGGTCCATTTAATCTCCAAGATTTCTTTTTTTATTATTTAAATTTTGCAAGATTGTTCTTTGGCAATATTGCTCCATCCCAACCACTCCTGAGACAGGCGCTCATGCCTAGTTGAGTTTCTAACAGGACCCTGGAGCCTACCACAAGCGTACTAGTTCAGTCATTCACGCTTACTCGCTGGTCTACTAACAGCTCATAATCAGCCTTCCTCAACTTCAAATGTGTTGGGCTTCAACTTTCTTAATTCCCAGCAGGCCATGCCGGCTAGAAGTTTGGGGAATTGTGGCTCAATGCATTTAGAGGACTTCAACTGATGAAGATTACTCTTGATGCAGCAGTGCTATAGCAATGATACAAGTCCTTCTTCTTTCCCCTGCATGTCTTCCTTATCCCATTACCAACGTCTGGATATAACAGTGAAGTCTTTGGCGTTTTACATGACCATGTAACTTGTTCTGTCCCATACAGTAGTGAAAAATACAGAGACAGGCTCACCATATTTTCAAATGTTCAAACTAGGACAAAGCCAGGGAGCATGGTCTTTGGTACTTTTTTAGAACTTGTCACATGACTAAATCCGAATGGTCTCAGACATGGGTTTAGCCATTTAAACTGGCTTGCCTAGACAAAGGGGAAGGAGACAGATGGCTAAACCCACATTTTGTTTTTGTGAATCTGTACGGCTCTGCTTTCCATGACTTTTTGTAAACAGCTGAGATTCCAGTGCAAAACTGGACAAACCCCAGTCAAACAGAACCTTTGATAAAACCTATGCAAAAATAAAAGATCAGTTTTCCCTAATCATGTGTAATGAGATTGCAAGTCTCAGAAATCCAGCCGCTTGGACATACTGCTTAGCATGAGAAGAACTGCAGTCAGACACACTCAGGTTTCAGACTGGGAAAGCTATCCTAAGGCCTACCCTGGAGCACATACAGCAACGGTCTCACTGACTTTTTAAAAAATCAGTTCGTGAAGCAACTACAATTCAGCCAATCCAAACCAAAAGCAAGCAAAACCAAATAAGGACTGATCTCATGTACCATGCTAAGCCTTGGTTTATTTGCTGAATAAGCCAATAGCACATCATGCTATGTCATAAAGCATGGTTTAGAAACCACAATGGCTATATTCACATAGGCACAAAGTCAATTGCATCGTGTGGGACCAATCCAGGGGCACCAGAGAAAACAGGACATGGGAGGAAGACTTTATTCACCAAGAATGGGTTCCATCCATTCAGATAAGCCATAGGAAAATCAGCTGATCATACTCCTAAATCTAACATTTGTTTTTATTTATAAGGTGATTCACAACTCATTCAACTGGATTACAAGCAGGGCCAACCCTAAATTTCAGAAAGCCTTTGTACGTGCTGGATCTCTTCTTCTTTCCTCCCCTCCAACCCCTTTTGCCTTCCTAGCTGGTGCCTCTAACTCCTTCTCTTATTTAAGATCTTAGCTACCACCTGGTTTGCCACCTAGTACTTCACTAAAAAGCTTCCCAGGAGAATAGGTACTTTCAGCTAAGAGCCAAATCAGTGTTTGACTCCACTCTACTTCTTCTGACCACTATCTTAGATTACAGCATTATACCAAGTGTTAAAACTGAATATTCTACTTAGGGTAAGTTAAGGTGCTAGTATACTGGAGTGGAATGGAAATACATTCAGCTCGGCTTCACTGGAAATTATGGCTGCCCACAGAGTCATATCATTTGTCTAGGCATGACAACCTCTGATGACAAACATGACTGGTAACACTCTCTTTAGGAAGATTACTGCACAAGAGAAGATCTCTGCTTTTCCGCAAATTAGATCAACTTTCAATTATATGTACCATTACAAAATAATACCATTTACAGGCTTATTCTGCTTCAGCATCCTGCCCCACCAAATAAAATTCAGACTGTGAAATCTAAATGCTTTTTGGATTTCAATGTTTGAAACGTTTTAAATATAACTTTCCTTAAAAAATTAAATATAGTTCTTTATGCAAATTTGTATAACACGCTTTATTCTGGACTTGATAGTTGGATTTTCTCTCTATCCCCCAAATCCTACTTTTTCAGCAACAGTATGGCAAGGAAGATACTTTAAGGATTACTAAGGCTGGTGGAATGGGAATCAGTGCAAGAAAGGGACAGTTAGCCATGTAGAGCAACGACACCCTACAGAGCAGTGCCAGTGAACTGTGTTCAAAGTCATGAGATCTTGAAACCTATGGTACCGTTTGCTTGTTTTCTAAAATGGTGGCCGAGGTTCCAGAAATTCAAATTATGTAAACCATGTTAGGCTTGGAATTCCGTATATGTGAATTAGTTCTGTAGAGTCATTTTATCTCCAGCACTGATTTGCCATCTCTGCTCCCACAAGCTTACTAATCCTTCATCCAAAATCAGAAGGTCCCATCTTCTCCTTCCTTTCCATTAACTTGAAAGTGAATAACTGTAGCCCGCAAAGTTTTGGGTGTGATTCCCCAAAGAACTCCAAAAATTGTTACCACCTTGTAATTTTTAGCATGACAGAACAGGATTAGATACATAACTGGAAAGTAACCAACTGACTTATATTTGTCATGAAATGTCAGTATTAGTCTAAATTAAGCCAAGGTGAGTTTCTGCCCTAGCCTCTCCCACTTATTTTTGGAGTGCAGCTCCCATCAATCTGCTCAATAGCCAAGTGAAGCTTTCAACCTAGAAGAAGATATGCATCCTTGCATTGACTCACAGGCTTCCTTTTTACCAACATATCATTTTTACCTGCCACAGCAAGGTGACTCCATAGATGAACTCCAGCTGCTGTTGCTTCTGCTGTGCAATGGTGACTCCCAACACAAGTGTGTGGATGCCACAAGAAATGGCTGAGATAAGGACAATGGGCATGAGGTGCAAGGGGAGGGTGATGAAGAAGGAGAAGACAAAAAAGGCCTGCCATCCAACTGTGTCACTGGCCTCGTGGTAGCAGGCAAAATTCAAGCCCAAGTAGCAGAATATCTGAGCAGCTATCAGTATCCACAAAATGTATGGCATGAATTTCCGGGTGACACGATCAGGCAGGAGTTCATACTTGCATAGGATAAAGAGGAGGATCTGAGCAGCCAGGCCCACTGATGCTGCCACAGTGGGTGCCAGCTTCTCTGAAGTGTACACCACTGTGCACATGATGATAACGTAGCAATCAAAGAGGGCTGCAAAGACCACCAGGACCAGCAAAGTCTCATGACGCTGCCGCCGGAAGTAGGTCTGGTAGAGGTTCTCCAGGGACTCAGGGGCGAACGTGAGGCGCATAAAACGGGGCAGACAGAGGCAAGAACCTGAGTTCCTCACCGTCACCTCATGGGTCCGGCCAACCCCATGCTCAGGGTCAGAAGGCAAGCTGACTGAATAGTCTGCAGAATACTCTACCGAGTATTCGGGCTCGGAGAATGCCCTATTCCGAGGCATCCTGCTGGTTTCCACCACCTAATCCTTAGATACTTTGTGAGGAGGATCTGCCTATAAGTCAAAAGTTACCTCAGCGACAGTTCAGCTCCCAGTAACCTGGAAGGCATGGAAGCTTTAGGAGCAGGTATTCAGTGCCTTCTTCCAGTGTCAGCTTTCAAGATGTCCTCTCCCCAACACATGACAGCCCCTGACTGAGAGAGAAATATATTAGCAGAAAAAAAAATACGGACTCTCTTCCCTCCAGCTCTGGCCTACTATAACATGAGTTGAATCTTCACCAACACCCAGCTCTGCAGACCATCACCCTCAGCTGTCACTCCCATTTCTCTTTCACACTTCACCCAAATGTATTTTGTGCTAAGAATAAATTAAACATTAACATTTTGCAAACACAAGTAACTATGTTATTTAGCCAAGTTTCAGAAGCATTTGATTAAAAAGCTTAGATGTTCTGGTTTTCATAATTTCAGGAATTAAAGCAATTGGCTTCTTCTAAAAATAAGACAAGAAGATAGAGCAAAGTTAATTCTCCAACCAATCATTATATATTTGCTTCTTTTACTTTTCCTAGCTGCAGTTTCATGCCTGTGCCCCTAAATCAGTGGTCATGTTCACACAGTGTTTCACCTGGGTTAACAAAACACAGTGGCTATATTCACATTACTGTACAGGCAATGCCCAAACAAACTACATTATGGCTTATATTATGACCTGGTTTCACAACATATTGAACCACAGCTCACCCAACCTGATAAGCCTAGTCTAGTCTACTGGGCAAATTCCCTCTATAAATATAGAAATAGAAAATTCTTGGACAAAAGTTGAGTTCATTCCCTCCTGCTAATTTACAGTGACCATCCAAATGTGATCAGAAAAGGGTGCTGAAGCCTTATGGAAAGACAAGTGAGAAGGAATGGTAGCAAGTTGGCCACCCCACCTGCGCCCTCCCACAATCTCCCTCAGTTCTTCCATCAGGTCCAGCATCTCCCTGCCAGTTTCCTACTCACAGGAAACTGCTCTCCCTTCTTACCATCTTTCTCAGTGGTGTTTGCAGAAGTAGGTTGGTTGAAATCTTTGGATCAGGCCCCATTGAAATGTCATCTAAGCTTGTGGGAGATAGCCAGCTCTCTCCCACACAGAGAGGGAGTGACAAAGGTGGGAACCAACTCTGCCAAGAGTCTTCTTACATCCTCTTCCTGGCTGCCACTTTGAGATGGAGGGCTTGACAAGGGGGAAATGAAGCCTTTTCAGCAGCAGCCCAGCCCAAATGAAACCTGCATCTTTCCAGAAGAGCCCTGTTTTCTTTTCAGCAGAAAGGTCCAGCTCAGCTATGCCCCTTCCTCAGTTGTCTCTATTCACCCATCTCACCCTGATGCCCAGGATTCATCTGTATCTCAGGTTTTGGTCCTGGGATCTAGGATCAGCTTTCTCTTTCTTGCTCTCCCCCCCAGGTGTACGGTTATTTCTGCCACTGAACGACTCACGTTCTTGCTGCTGTGCCTGCGAGGGCTTGCGTGTGTCCCTGCACAAAAGGGAGAGATTAAAAAAAAAAAAGGTCTCCTCCCTGAGCGACAGGAAAAGAAAAAGGAGGAGCAAAGCAAGGCCTCCTCGCGAACGATCAAGGAGACCGAGGGTGGCGGCGGCGGGGATGGAAGGAACTCAAAAAAGTGCCAAAGAAGCATCCACACGTGTCTAAACGTTGAGCCTCTGAGGGCTGGGAGTTGGCTTCCCCCTCGCCCTCCGGAAAACGCCACACCGCACAAGCCAAGACGGGGAATCTTCCAGTGAGCGGGGATGGAGGGTCGAGAACTGCCGGACTTCTGCTCCCAAGAAGCTCTGGAGTGGGAGAAGATTCAAGCCGAGAGGCATCTCTCCAGATCTCCGAACCAGGAACCTGGCGAAAGAGGAAGATGCCTTTTCTCTCCCAGCGCTCACCGCCCAAGCGGGGCAGCCCTGGGAACCGCTCAGCCGATCCTAGGCTGCGGAGAGCGCCTCTGCCCGAGTTGCAGTCGCGTCGAGGCTCGCTCCGAGGGCGCAAAAGCGGGGCGGATGGCGCGAGCTCGCCGCCAGATCCCTCCCGCTCTCCGCGGGTGGTTCCGTGGCCCTCTGCCAGGCTCAGACGTCGGATCTCCCGGGCCCGCGAAGAAGGATCGCTCTAGGAGCTGCGCCGCCTCTGTTCTCCGGCGGCGGC